GTCTCTGGTGAATCCTCTCACCGTCCACACCTCTGGCCTGTACCGTAGTTCTTGTATGCATAAATAAATAAATCTTTAAAAAAAAGTAAAAACATTCAATACATTCTTTTTTCCTACTGTAAAAAGTCACAAGCTCTAATTGTAGAAATTCCAGGAGAAACCTCAGAGAAGTACAAAGAAAAAAATAAAATCACCCCTAAATCCATAATTCCATTAGACAACTGTTAATAATTGGGTAAATACTTGTCTAATCCACGGTCATTTTTTTTTTCAAGAAAAAAATCATATCACACTGCATGTAATATTTTACAATCTAATATATTTTTTTAAGATTTATTTTATTTATGCAAGAGCCGGCGTACAATCCAGATGCGCGGGAGGGTGAGAGGACCCACCAGAGACAGAGCGGAGAACAGAACAGGCAGACTGATGAAATACACCACTGAAGGGAACAGCTGGCGAGACAGGAGAGGTCTGCCTCGCCATGGGGGTTGCTCTGAGGCCGGCGGGGATCGAACCAGCACTGCAGAGGCTGTGGACAGCTTCACAGCACTGCGCTCAACCTCCTGTACTACCAGGGAGGCCCACAATCTAATATCTTATGTAATCATGAAAACAGTCCACAGAGGGGCCTCCCTGGTGGCACAGGAGTTAAAGTCTCAGCACTATGAAGCTATTGACATGAGTTCAATTCCCTGCCAGGGAGCTGACCCACTTGGGGCAGCAGACCTCTCTTGTCTCTCCCACTGCTCCCCTCAGCAGAGTATTTCAGTAGATCTGCCTGTTCTGCCCACTCTGTCTCTGGTGAATCCTTTCTCTCTCTCTCTCTCTCTCTCTCTCACACACACACACACACACACACACACACACACACACACCCCGCACACCTCTGGTCTATACCCCAGTTTTTGGGTGCATAAGTAAATAAATCTTTAAAAAAGAGAAAATAGTCCATGGCATCAAATCTTCTTCCACAATATCCTCCCCAAGTGGCTGCACAGTATTCCACTGTGTTTTAGCAGTTTCTTGATCCAATCCCCTTTTGATGGACATTTCAGTTTCAATTTTAATTGTTTTAAATAATGCTGGGATGCACATTCTTTTGGCCACATCTCCTCCATAACTTCTTTAGGACAAATTTTTAGAAGTGGAGCTGTTTGTCCCAGGATCTACACATGTGTAAAACTTTTGATGACATATTCTGACCTGTGAGGGAAATCACCGGGGGCGCCAGATGTCCAAGTAATGGTAATGTTCAGTCCAAGAGGAAAAGACTGACTGATGGGGGGCTGAGGGGTAAGGGACAGGTTAGGGGCACACAGGTGCTGGGTGATGCAGAGAAGCTACCAGACTCAGTTACTGGGGAGATACTACAGAGGACTTCCCTGGAAGCCAGAGGAATACTCTTTTTGCCCCCTTCCCAGTCCCTCCTCACCTAGGGCCCCTATGCTCTAGGCAGCAGGAGTCTGCAGCTCCTTCCCTGCTGCCCCCATTTGTCTTAACGTCCTCCAAACAAGCTGGATGCCAGCTCCCTGAGACCCAGCCAAATGCAACCTGCCCTGAGCCCTGCCCACCTCCACATCCCCGAGTGGGTCAGCCTGGTTTCCAAAGGCAGATCCCGGCACCCCACGAAGGGTCCTCTCTCCAAGGTTGGATGGAGGGCCAACTGCTTGAGGGTGGGGCGGTGGGGGGTGTTGGATTGTGGGTTTAGATTTTGAGATGACTCACAAGCCATCCTAAGGGAGAAAGGGGCAGGGGAATGAATGGATTGCAAGCCAAGAGGGAGGGACTGAGGAGATGAGCTGGGGGGCCTTGATTCGCCAGCATCAGTTTCTTCAACATCTGCAGTGCGTGGGATTGAGTGATCCCACTGGGGGGTTGTGGGGGGTACGACTGGGAGGCTGGCTGACGTTTGCTTCCCGCCTGCTGGGTCAGCCTGGAGCAGTTCATGAATGACTCACCTCATTGTCAGGCTGATTCACTGCCTCGCCTGGGGACTAGGGGGAGGGGGGGTTGGGCTGCAGCCCCCTCTGTACGTCTAGCACACGCACGCTTACACGCACACACGTGGGCGGGGCTCCAGTGAGTCCATTTTACCTGCTTGAGGGGGGTTGGGGTGCACCAATTGGTCTGAGGTTTCAGTCTGTAGTCTGTCCATAGATAATTACATTTAAATTGATTGCAATTAAATACAATTAAAACTTCAATTTCTTAGTCTCCTTCGCCAAATTTCAAGTGCTCAATAGCCACAGATGGCCAATGGCTACTCTATTGCTTAGCACAGATAGAAAATATTTCCATCAACCCAATTTCTAGCTGACTGTACTGGTCTGCACAGCCCTCACACACTCTATGCCACACAAATCGAGCCCTCCTCCCCACCCCCACACACTTAACACCCCCACCCACATATGCAGCGCACAACACACATTTCATTCTATACACATTCATTCCACACACTCATTCCACATGCACCACCCGCCTGCCAACACAGGCATCCGAGACTCTGCACACACACTTCTAGTGTCTGCCACTGTCCATACCTAGGCATATGTAAATATAAACATAAACACATGCATGCACCACCACACTGATTCAAATACAACTATTCCTAAGATAAAAATACAAATTAGGGTGAAATACATTTGCAAATGTGCTGAAATAGATACAAACTCAAGCCATGTGGTTCCTATAACAAATCTCAGCACAATTTGCAAACTCAAGTAGGGGGGAGGGGAACCCACATTGTTGAGACCCTGCCAACATGCTAGGCATGGAGTTAGCCGTTTTAATGCATTAATTCATCTCATCCCCAGCAACTCTGTGAGCAAGATGTATTATTCCATTTTCATAAATGAGACAACTAAGACTCAGAGAGGTAAAGCAACATACTCAAGACCACACAGCCAGTTTGCAGCAATCAAATAGCAACCAAGATTTGCAGGTATTTTAGGAAGTGAGCATGGAGTTGCCCAGAAGCATTAGCTCTCCCTCCTTTTAAATGGCATTAAGTCACTCAACAAGCACACAGAACAAGTACCAGCTGTTATTATTATTGGGTAAATCAGAGTGCTATTGAGACTGCTCACTATACTACTCTCCTTTGTACTCCACTTTACAGCTGATGTCTTCTGGTGTCATATCCTCTTGCCCAAGTCCCAGCACCCACTTTTCCCTTTTCCTGAACTCTCCCTTTTCTTTTTGGTTTGAGTCTCCATTATCCTTAAACCTGGTTATTAGAGAGGTAAGCTTCTGACCTCTCTTCTAAGAGGAGGAAGAAGAAAACCCATCACTCTGGAGACATGGTCCTTCATTGTACCTTAAGGTGACAGTGCTAAGAAGACAACTGATTAGGAGGTAGGTGCCCTTCAGCATGGGGCTCCTTCCCATCTCTAAAATGAAAAACCCCCTCACCGTGCCCTGACAGTCCCTTTCTAGAATATCCAGGACCATGTTTTCCATTTGTCCCAGTCACTGCTCCCACCCCCATCCTATTTTCAATAGGAGGCGGGGACAGTTGTTCCTTTATCTTAGAAAAATGTTTGAGGAGTACTTAAAATCTCCAATCATAAGATCCACCACTGTGGATCACTGCACTGGCTGTGCAGACCAGTACAGTCAGCTACATGTGACCCTGAAGGAACTCTGGGCCTCAGTTTCCTAATCTGTTAAACAATACCCGGCCTATCACTCTTCATGGGATCTTTGTGAAGACATGAACTAATGATTATGGAAACTGCAAATTAAAGTGTGGATAAGAGTTGATATTATTCCTCTTGGCCTTGAGCTCTATGATCTCCCTTCAGCTGGGACTGACAGAGCCCCAGATCGCGGAGAGCCTTCTCATGGGGCTCTAGGACTGTCCACATCTGGGCAGGATGAGTTGCCCCTGGGATTCCTGTGAGGAGAGGAGGACCTCTAAATGAGAAGGTTGGGGTTTTGTCTCCCAGCTCAGAAGCACAGGGGTTTGAGGGAATTCCTAACCTGGATGAGAGTCAGGGATCCAGGTTCCCTCTCTGATCACTACTGTTACCTCCATTCTGACACATGACAGGTAAACCAATCCAGGTGCAGCTAGACTGGAAGCCACAGGCTGCCCAGAGGGAAGGCTAGACAACACACTGGTTCAGATCAGATGACTAAGAAGTGCAGTCAGCTACCTTCCTCCTGCCTTTTGAGTCCTCAAAACTATGCAGCCCTAGCCATTACTGACTCGCTCTGTAGTGACAAGTGAGGAAAGAAACTGAGATCGAACAGAGGGTCATTAACTGCAGCAGGTTTTAGGGAGGAAAACTGGGAGCCCAAATTACTGGGCCCCTGCCAATCCCTCTACACAATTCTTCTGGACTCTTTTGATCTGTGTCTCCCTGACTTGTTTGTGAACTTGAGGGCACCAGGAATCTTACTTCTCTATCCCCCGTGTCAAGCACTGTGCCTGATACAGAGTAGTCATGCAATAACCCTATTGTGCTGTGCTTAGGATTCAAAGTTAATAAACCAGACAAGGTCCCTGCCCTCAAGGATAAGATGTAAATTATGACAATTACAAATTATGAAAAGTGCTGAGAAGGAAACAGTGTTGTGTTGGGGGAGTGGATGTTACTTGAGAGAATGGGTGACTGGAAAGCTTTGAGATCCAAGCAGAAATGTTAAGCCCCAGAACATCTTGGCTTAATAAATATGCGTTGCAACACCAGACGATGGATTGATAGATGGACAACTGAGCCGCCAGATAAACCAATGGGGTGGATTCTGGTGTGAATGAGTCCCGCTGTAGCACCTAGGGGGATGCACCACTTGGCTGTGCAGGGCTGGGTATTAGGTGCTGCGTTCTCACCTGAACGTTTGATGAACCAGAAGGCCGGGCCCGAGGGGCCGCTGGGGGGCGACCGAGAGCCCATCCATTTCCCTTTAAGGCCGGAGCGGAAGACTGGCGAATGAAGATCTTTCCGTCGGCGGGATAAAAATAGGCCTCGCCCTTTAAGAGGGTGGAGCCACAGGCGTGGCGGCGGCTTCGAAAGAGGCCTAGGACGCAAGCCCCCTTCTTCCCGGCGTCCGTCCGTCGGACGCTGCCCTCTCCCCCTCCTTGCCCCAGGGACACAGTCGCCCACACTCTGGCCCTCTCACCCAGGTCAGGTCCAAGGTCCCAGTGACTTCTCGAGTCGGGGCCTGCCGGACCAACCCACCGGCTGAAGCCCACCCGCCGTCGCCATGGTAATGCCGCGTCTGGGTCTATGTGGCCGCTCGGTCCCCCAAGGGCGGGAATAGCTCTCCGAGTTCCACCCTCTCACCCGTACTAGCAGCTGGGCCGAGGTCAGGGTCTGGATGGGAGCTCGGTGGGGTGGGGAGGCCTGGGGGTCTAGTCAGAGCTCGGCGTGGACGCACCGGGGACCCAGGGAAGGCTCTCTCCACCCACTTCCTTTGGGCCTCAGTTTCCCTCCCGTTGCTTTCCATCTCTTCTTGGGGAACTGTTCAGCCTTCCCCCTGCCCTCAAACGTCACGCCTCCGGAGCCTCTTCTTCCCCGCCCCCCCACCTGTCCAGTCTGATTTTGGGCACTCAGGGCTAGGCATCTCTAACCGCGGTTCTTGCACCTCTGGCACCTGGGGTTAGGCACAGGCCTTGGCTTGGGGTTTGACACCCATCTAAGAGGTCGCCACAGCAGCCCTAGAAAGAAGGTACTGTGGAATGGAGTCACCCACCTTCATGGGACCCTATATTTTGGGTGTTCCATTGGGTAGATGGAAACCACCAACTTAGCTTCAGAAATACGACCACCATGCTGGGCATGCTTAGTTTTCTCTTCTGTTTTACAAAGACTCCTCCAGCCAAACCTTTGGGATGCTGTGAAATCCGTAGGTCACACACATTGCTGTCTAGGAAGACCCATGCTCCCTCAGGCAGCCTTCCCTCTGCCCTCCCACCCCCTCCCAAGATTAATGCAGATGGGGCCTCCCGGGTGATGCAAGGGGTTAAGCACAGCACTATGAAGCAATTCCCAGCCTCTGCACAAGTTCCATCCCCACTGGCCAGGGAGCTACCCACATGGCACAGCAGAGCTCTCCTGACTCGCCCACTGCGCCCCTTAGCAGTGTATTTCAGTTGATCTGTTCCCCGCTCTGTCTCTGGTGAATCCTCTCACCACCCACAACTCTGGCCTGTACGCCAGTTCTTGTATGTATAAAGAAATAAATCTTGGGCCTCCTTGGTGGCGCAGTGGTTGAGCGCTGGGTTGCGAAGCTGCCCGCAGCCTCTGCAGCACCGGTTCGAATCCCGGCTGCTCCCCGGCCACAGGCGAGGGTCCCACATGGCGCAGCAGACCTCTCCTGCCGCCCGCTGCTCCCCTCAGCAGTGTACTTCGGTCCTTCTGCCTGCTCTGCTCCCTGCTCTGGCTCTGGTGAATTCTCTCACCCTCCCGCGCTTCTGACTGTACCCCCAGTGCTTGCATAAATAAAAAATAAACAAATAAACAAATAAATCTTTTTTTTAAAAAAAAAGAAAAATTTATAAAAAAAAAAAGAAAGAAATCTTAAAAAAAAAAAAAAAAGATTAATGCAGATGGACCTGAGTGCATTATTTTACAAGAAAGGATTCTAAATCATTTGAGTCTTTAAGTAAATCCCATCTCCTCCTTGGCTCTTATGCCTCCCCCAACACTAGCAAACCGCCCCCCCAAAAAACAGTACACCTGATGGTTTTGTTAGAATTGGGAAGAAGCATAGTGAATACAGAATGTACTTGTAAACTGTATTTCTCCTCCAACCTCAATTGCTTTGTTTTCCTTTCAGGCGTGCAGTTTGCAGAAGCTATTTGCTGTAGAAGAGGAGTTTGAAGATGAGGTAAGGAAGAGTTGGTGATCAGAGATGGCAGAGGAAGTCTTAAGGTGTAAACATTCAGGTCAGAGCATGTCAAGCAGTCTCCTTTTACTTGACGTGTATGTGTGTGTGTACACATATATGTATTTCACTGTGAGGGGTGGAGAAATGTAAGAAATCTACTTAACTATCTTAAAAACAAGTAAAAAACCAAAGAGATGAGCTGCCTAATTGTCACACCTTTAATTTTTTTTAAAGATTTATTTATTTATGCATACAAGAAATGGGATACAGGCCAGAGGTATGGAGGGTGAGAGGATTCACCAGAGACAGAGTGGGGAACAGAACAGGCAGACTGACTGGAATACACTGCTGAGGGGGGCCTCAGGCGAGTCAGGAGAGGTCTGCTGGGCCATGTGGGTAGCTCCCTGGCCAGGGATTGAACTCATGCTGCAGTGACTGCAGACAGCTTCATAGGTTGCATCTTAACCCCTTGCGCCACCAGGGAGGCCCCATACCTTTAACTTTTAAGGCCTTTGGGCCTCCTTGGTGGTGCAGGGGTTAAAAGTATGGGTGTTGTCAAGCTATCACCAGCCACTATAGCACGAGTATAAATAAATAAAATTTAAGGACCTTTCCTGGAGAGTGTATCATGTAGCTGATTTAATTCACCTTCATGATGACATACTTGAGGTGGGAAGAAAATCAATGGAGAGCCAGAGTGGTGCAGAAGACAGCACGGTTACTAGACGGCAGGAGGCCTGGGGTCATCAGTGGGCTTCATGAGCCAGGACAAATTACGTTATTCTCTGGCCTTCTGTGTTCTCTTCTACAATATGAGGGGCATTCTTTTACCTCAAATGCACTTTCCTTCCCTCTCTCTTCTTAGAAGATGAGGGATTAGACTTTCTCTGAAGATGGCCCATTAAAATTATATTATTGCAGCCCTTCCATATACCAAATAAATCAGAATTTCTGGGATAGACACAGGCAAGGGTATTTCCTGCCTCTGCATGTAGCCAGAGACCACTAAACTAGCAATCTCCACAGTGCTCTTTCTCTTCAGATCCAGTGGATATAGTTTTATCTGGGAGGCCTGAAATTGATACCTCAAATATTTTTCAGAAAGAGGCAGGATTTAAGTGAGTAAAGCCCAAAGACATAAATCAGCCTGCCTAAGAATACAGCACCAACAGCCAGGATGAGGTCTTGGCCTCCTGACTCCAGTCAAAGGTATATGGAACCTACTAAGCCACTTTGATAGATGAGAATGGCTCTAATGCCAAGCCATTCAAACCTACTTTTTCTCTTGCAGCAACTTGCTTTAAAAATCCTGTTTAGAATTTGTTCCCTTTGCCTCATTTGTGCCTCAGCTGGTGGTGAATGCTGCACCAGGACTCTTTTTTTTTTTTTTCTAAGATTTATTTATTTATTTATTTATACAAGCACTGGGTTCAGTCAGAAGCATGGGAGGGTGAGAGAATTCACCAGAGCCAGAGCGGGGAGCAGAACAGGCAGAAGGACCGAAGTACACTGCTGAGGGGAGCAGCGGGCGGCAGGAGAGGTCTGCGCACCTTGTGGGACCCTCCCTCCGGTGGCCAGGGAGCAGCCGGGGATCGAACCGGCTGCAGAGGCTGCAGAGGCTGCTGGCAGCTTCGCAACCCGGCACTCAACCGCTGTGCCACCGGGGAGGCCCTGCACCAGGACTCTTCTGGCAGCCCAAGCCTCATCCCCATGTGCCCCTTCCTTTGAGGCTTTTGGAATCTGGGGTTTGAAGGGAAAAATGGACCTTCCTTAGACCTCTTAAAAATTGGTCTCTGGCTTGTCTAATTCGGTGAGGTCCTGAAACATAGTCACAAGGGTGCATGTGGAGTCTAGTCCTGGGTCTGTGAAATTACTTAATCTCTCTGAGTCTTGCTATCTGCATCCATAAAGCAGGGATAATAATAGTATCTATTCAGAGGGCCAATGTGGGAAGCCATTGAGAGAATTCTGGTAAGATGTTTACATGGTACCTGTCACAGTGTTTGTTTTTGTTACCAGTTCGGGACTTGATTGTCATTTTTACAAATATTTCAAAACTGCCAACTTTGTAAAGGAGATGTGTCCGTGTCTTTGTCTTTCAACTTTGAAGATGTATAATCACAGGCTGACCGGTGTCTGTTAAAGTGACCTTCTTGGGTCTTATCAGGTGATGGAGTTAGAGTGAAGGACTCTGTCAGCTCAAGTTTCTGTTGCATGAAAATGACAGACCAGGGCCTCCCTGGTGGTGCAGGGGTTAAAGTCTCAGCACTATATGGGCCTACCCTGGTGGCGCAGGCGGTTGAGCACCATGAGCTGTGAAGCTGTCCGCAGCCTCTGCAGCGCTGGCAGGCCTCTCCTGTCTCGCCTGCTGCTCCCTTCAGCAGTGTATTTCATCAGTCTGCTTATTCTGCTCCCCGCTCTGTCTTTGGTGAATCTTCTCACCCTCCCGTGCATCTGGCCTGTACCCTGGTTCTTGTATGTATAAATCAATCAATCACTCAATCAATCAATCTTTAAAAAAAAGTCTCAGCACTGTCACACTATCACCAGCCTCTGCAGCATGAGTTCAACCCCCGGCCAGGAAGCTGACCCACATAGTACAGCAGACCTCTCCTGTCTCACTCGCTGCTCCCTTCAGCAGTGTATTTCAGCAGATCTGCCTGTTCTGCTCCCTACTCTCTGGTGAATCCTCTTGCCCCCCGCACCTCTGGCCTACACCCCAGTTCTTGTATGCATAAATAAATAAATCTTTAAAAAAAAAAAGAAAATGACCAGTCCCTTTGCCTTTCCCAAGGCTGATGACATCATGTCTGAGAGTAAGTTCTTCCAGAGAAAAGGGGTCCATCAATCCCCAGGTAATCAGGATTTTATTGCTTCTGTAATTCTGATATTGTTGTTGTCCTTCTTAATGCTGTTAAATTGTAAGGTACCGCTGTCTGGAGTATGCTACTCTCCTGGTAAAACGCAAAGCAGGAAAAAAAAACCTCTCTCTAGCCCAGACAATTCAATGCAGCAGCAGGGGTAGGCGTGGAAGAGACCTTCCTGTCAGTTAAATCAGCAGTTCTGACTCAAAAACACCCTCAGAACAGGTCTGTTGCTCTTGAAGGTGTCAATCTCACCTTGCTTCCCAACTGGAATCCATACTTAATTTTAACTTGCCGGAAAAGCTATATTTAACTTGTGCCTATTTTGCTGGCTCCATGGCCTCTCTGGCTTACTGATGGCTGTGTGTGCGTGCGCGTGTGTGTGTGTGTGTGTGTGTGTGTGTGTGTGTGTGTGAGTGAGAGAAGTAGGCTGAGGATAAGCAGCATTACCAACTGGACAGACCCCTATTGCACAATCTGGCCACCAGAAAGCTAGTTTGCTTGAGATGGAGGATTTATTTGACTAAGTGCCCTGATATGTTTGCTTCAGCTGCTCCCCCAAATGCCATTCCCCCCATCCCAAGATTGAAGAAACAGAGGAAAGCTACCAGAAGACTTAGCCTTAGAACTTTTCTGGCAGAAGCCTGATGGTGGGCCCATGGACAAGGTCCAGGGTAGTGAGAGACCCACCGTTGCCTTTCACACCTTAGTTTCTTGTATGTATGTATGTGCACATACATATATACACATACCATATGCCTAAAATAGTAAAAAAAACTGTTTCTTGATTTCCAGATTTTAAAACCGACTCTGTTTCTTTGTAGGACTTCTTGTCTGCTGTGGAGGATACAGAGAACCAGTTTGCTGGCTCCCGGCCTGTGAATGCTGGGTGCCTGAGATCTATCTCTTCCATGCAACAGGAGAGTATACAGGCACAATTTTCTGGGCAGCTACCCTCATGCCCCACTGCTCCTTCAGAGACTTTGGGCCTGCCAGCCCTGAGACCCCACCTTCCTACCTCCAGCATGCCCACAGGAACAGCCCCTCTAAGGTCTATCTCGACTCCCAGCAGCTGGACCGGCAATCAGAGGAGAGTGGCACTGACAGATGTTCTCAAAGAGCCAGCTAGACCCCAGTCCTCAGCCCCCCAGCCCTTACTCACCTTTGAGAGCCAACAACAGGTGATTGATGACTTTGAGGGCACTGAACAAGATGAATTTGATCAGGTGCTGGCAAGCATGGAGCTGGAGGGTCCTGGCATGGAGCTGGAACTTGGGCTTAGCAGTGAGGCCCCAGGAATCCTGCCCACCTGGCCACAGGAGGACTCAGTGTTAGCTAAAAAGGCCCGGGTAGTTGATCTGAGCAGATCTTGCCAAGAGGGACCCCTGCCTGCCACCCACATCATCTCAGCCCAGGAAGAGCCTCCAGGTCCTCTTGTCCACTGTAGGACTTCACAGCCCCACTTGAGACCTCGTGCAGTGGCTAACTTCCCTATCTCAAATGCCTCAGCGGTTCCCACTGAGCAACCCCACTGGGAAGCCTGTCCTAAAGGTCCCCCTCTTCAAGCACCCCAGCCTCTCCAAGCTGCTGATAGCCCCATTCAGAGGAGCCCTCAAAATCGTTTTCCCCATCAGCCTTTCCAGTCTCCAAGTGCCCATTTAAGTGGCAAACCTCACTTTCCTGGACCACGAACCCCCAACTCAAGCTATTCTCCCTCAAGGACTATCTCTGGACTCATTCCTCAGAGGCTCTTACCACCACGAGCTCCAGTGTCTTCTTTTAAGTCTCCTATCAGCACCCCAAAAGGCCCCCATTCCTCCCTGGTTGCCCAAGCAGCTCTGCAGACACCCGTAGTCACTAACCACTTGGTGCAGCTGGTCACAGCTGCCAACCGGACACCCCAGCAGCCCACACGCTCCTCAGCCCGCGCCAAAACCCGCCGCTTCCCTGGCCCCGCTGGGATCCTGCCTCACCAGGTGAGTAGCAACTTCTTTCTGCCCAGGACAAGGGGGTGAGGGAGACAGCATTCTAGTACTGCCCAGTTCCAGAATCCTGGGTGGGGGAGAAGGAAGTGCAGAGAGGGAAGGTTTTCAAAGCTGTGGAAAAAGTCACAAGAAGTAGGAGCAGGAACTGGACTACTACATGTGAGCGGTGCGTGAGGTGCTGAGAACCTCACAGTTTTCATAGTTTGCTGAACACCTACTATTTGGCTGGCACTAAAACAGGAAAATTCATTCACTTATATTTGCTAAGGGCTTGTCTTGGGCAGTTTGCTCTAGAACTGAGAATACAGAGTGGAAGAAGCCAACACAAGAGGCAGTCATGCATAAAATGTGCGTATGAGTAGGGGTCATTATCTGGGTGCTGGGGAGCCACTGGGCGTGCTGAGTGGGCTTGGGATGGATGAATAAGAGGCTGGCCGGCATGTGTTTGGGGGACTGTGCTCTGGAGACAGGGAGGATCATGTGCACAGGCACAGAGGCATAACAGCCCAATGCTTTCTGGGGTCCACAAACCAGTTCATTGTGGCTGTGTGTGGGGTCAGTGTGTGTGGGGAGCTGGGGCTCTGCTGAGAGTTTAGATTTCTGCTGTGGTGGAGCACAGTATCCATCTAGCGGGTTTTGGAACAGATGCCAGATACCTCATCTCTGGGGTCTGGTCTGGTGGTGAGAGGTACATCCCTCTCCTTCCACTTCAGGGTATTTGAAACAATTTCTACCCGCTGGTTACTTGCTCTTCCTTAGCACTTGAAGAGAAGCCCAAGGAGGCCGTCTGCATTCCTCCCGGGCTGGAGCTCTCTGTAGGGAGGGGTATGGTCCCAGCTAAGGGACCTGGGGAAAGTGGCCTCTTTGCTCATCGTAGGCCTCTCTATTCCGGTCATTGCCCCCTTCAGGCAGCCCTGGGTTTTGCTCCTGGACCAGCTCCAGCTCCCTCACATTCCCAAAATGATCCCCAAAGCATCTTTTTTGAGTTGCCAATGAGGCTCCTGAGACTTTGTTAGGAGAGATGTAATATGTGTTAATTGTCCCTGATAGTTTCCTGAACTCATTATGTAACCCAGACAAGAAGCTGTACTTGTAAATAACAGCTGCTGAGCTTGCTCTCGCCTTCTCCTTCTCTCTTGCCTCGTAGCACAGTGGGAAAAATCTGGAGGAGATCATGGTTTCTACCCCCCAGACTCCAACTCATGGTGCTCTGGCTAAATTCAGGACGGAGGTAACAAATCTTAACTTTCTGGACATCATTTGAGACTAAGGGACATCTCTGCATGTTTCGGAGTTGAGAGTCAGAATTGATGCTGTTAGACCTTTTTCCTGGGGTCACAGCAAGGGGCATTTGGGGAAGGCATTTTACTGGCATAAAGTGGGGCCTGACCAGCCAGGTGTTAGCTGATGCCATGGGTCCTTCTTCACCACCCAAGTAAGAAAGGCCGACCTAGGCCATCTTCCCTCAGAGGAGGAGAGTGTGATCAGTATTAGGAAACTGCATCTCAGGTTCTGTGAACTGACTGAGAAGGATCTGCCTTTAGTGGGTGCCTCTTCATGGGTGAGACCCACTCTCCTCTGGGGTGCTGGATGACCTGCTCTGTCCTCACACCCACTTTTGCTTTTAATTTTTCTCTAGAAGTTTTTCTCTTTGCTATAGCTCCACAGAGTCACCAGATCCAAAGCAGTAACTTCTTATCTTTATTAAAAGTATTTATTAATACATAAGATGCTAATAATAAAGCCAGGAGCATCCCAAATAAATGATGACTAGTTTCAAAATGACTGAGGCTGTCTGGAAGTTCATAGATATTTGTAGGACTCAGCAGCACTAAGGCTTGCCAAGTCTTTTACAAGAGACAAGTATGGACAGCCTTTTGCTCTAGTTTAATTAAAGTTGGGACCTCACTGAAAATAAAATAAAGAGCACCTTTGCTACAGCTGCTGAGTGAAAGATGTGATATGCCACAAGATTGGACATTCCATTTTCTGACCTTGGAGATAAATGGAAGGAGAGACTGGCCACCATGCTTCAGGGAACCCCACTCCCTGCTGCCCCCTCCCTCCTGTTTCAGTCAAAGTCCGTAGCAAGGTGGACCCATTAACTAAGGCTCCCCGGTTCTGTGGTGCCAGATTGTTACTAGTTCTCAGGCGTCGGTGGAGGAGGATTTTGGCCGAGGACCCTGGCTGACTATGAAATCTTCTCTGGGCCTGGATGAGAGAGACCCCAACTGCTTCCTCTGTACCTACAGCATAGTCATGGTGCTGCGGAAGGTAAGGGGCCTGGGTGCTGAGATCCATAAAGAAGACCATTTTTATCCCTTCGCCACCTGCTTCCCTCCTCCGCTGCGGAAAGGGGCCGTTTGCTCCTGCTCACCTCAGGTCTGCAATGCAGCATGAAGTCCCTCTTCACGGAACTTTCCACTCACATACCTTTCCACTGCCCTGCACGGCATTGGGCACATGCAGCGGAGAGTGGGCTCTGGGCCTGTCTGCATATCTGAGCCCCGGATGGGAGGACTGTGCACGATTTACCCTCGGAGCTCCCAGTGGCCACTGGTCATATGCAGACATGTTAGTACCTGTGCTTCTGTGTCCCTGCCTGTGGCCTGCTGTGATAGAACTCTTCAAACACACACATACGCAAAGAGGTGGGGGAGAGAAAGGAAGCACCTCCTGGGTTTGGGTCAGCGGAGGGAGTCAGGCTGGGTCTCTAAACTACCCCTTTGGCCTCCACAAAGGAAGAGCATCACCACACTTGTTCTCTGTCCCCACCCACCCCCCAATTTGCTCTAACACAGCTTACTGGTGGGTCACAGCTGACTCAGCCACTGCCTCTCCTTGTAACCAGGCAGCCCTGAAGCAGCTTCCCAGGAACAAGGTCCCCACCATGGCAGTGATGATCAAGTCCCTGACTCGGAGCACAATGGACGCCAGTGTGGTTTTCAAGGACCCCACAGGTGAGGAGTTCAGTCCCAAGAGTATCTTGATGGGTGACCTCTGTTGAGGTCAGGGGATGAAGAGGAGTCACCTGCTCCATTTGCAGATGGGAAAATTGAGACAGTGAGCAGCCCACTCCCCAGCCAGGGGCCAAACCAGTCACTGTGCTGCCCTTGCCCCTGAGACTGATGGGCCATGTGGTATTTGCAGGAGAGATGCAGGGCACGGTGCACAGGTTGTTGCTTGAGACACGCCAGAATGACCTGAAGCCTGGCTCAGTGCTGCTGCTAAAGCAGGTATGGGGACTGCTCCCCCCTCCCACCCTGGAGCAGGCCCCGGAGGTGCCTGTCCCCTTACTTGTCTGGCTGTCTTCCCTTCCAGGCTGAGAGTGGCAGGGCTGGTGCTAGGCCCTGGCTTGCTGGCACACCAAGTGAAAGCCTGACTCCCACGCTCGGGGATGGGTGGGGAAGAGGGGCTGTGCTGTGGGGGGAGGATGGTATGGTAAGTGGTTCCGCTCTGGTACCAGACGTGGGTGGGAGCAGTCCATGTGCAAAGGCCACCAAGAAGAGACAGACGGGCGCCAGGTAGCCATCCAACAGTGCCTAGTGCTGTTAGGGCACTGACCTTCCTCTCCTGTACTCCAGATCGGAGTGTTTTCTCCTTCACTCCGAAATCATTACCTCAACGTGACGCCCAACAACCTGGTCCATGTTTACAGCCCAGATTCTGGGGATGGGAACTACCTTAAGCCATCGCAGCCCTTCCTTAAGGTAAGAGGAGCAGGATGGAATGGGGACAGGTGGAGCCACTTTCTGCTTGGATCTTCTGATTTCTCCTCCTCCTCTGCCTGGGGAACAGAGGGATGAGATGCCTCTGACGGGGCCACTCCCCCCCCCCCACCTTGGTCCAGCCACCTGCCAGATGGCAGAGTACCAGGACCTGGAGAACAGCTGGCTCCTTGGTGATCCCTGAGTGTCTGATGGCAGGCTTGCACGTCAGAGAGGACAGGAGTCACTTGAGAACTAGCCAAGTTGGGAAGCCCCTGAGGAATAGTGGCCTCAGTAAATGACTGAGGGTCAGGTAGTCTAAAGTGGCAATGCAGAGGAAAGTGGTGGGCCAGCGCTGGCTGGGCTATTGTCATGGCCAGGCCTGCTTCGGGGGTCAGAGACCTGGGGCGTGTCCCAATTTACTAGACATTTGTAATGTGACCTCTGGCAAGTCTTGTCCCCTCCCCTGCTATTGCTTCATCTATAAAAGGAGTGGGTTAGACTTGACCCTAGCCAAGTTTTCACCCTTAGCTCTAATTTGCTACTTCTAACATTTCCCTTATCTTTCCCCTTCACCGTCCACTTCCTCTCAAAAATCACCCCACTTGTAAGGAATCTTCTCTATTTTTTTGTTTAAATTTCAAGTCATCCATACTTATTACAGAACAAAGCAAAAATAAAATTTACCCTTTCATAGTTCCATGATCAACTATGGGCTAACCCTGGTTAGCAATTTAATTACTAATATTAATTACCTGACCATATATTGGCTAGTTGGGAAAATTTTTTTTTAAGATTTATTTTATTTATGCATACAAGAACTGGGATGTAGGCCAGAGGTGCAGGGGGTGGTGAAAGGATTTACCAGAGACAGAGTGAGGAGCAGTACAGGCAGATTGACTGAAATACACTGCTGAGGGGAGCAGCGGGCAAGACAGGAGAGGTCTGTTGTGCTGTGTGGGTTAGCTCCCTGGCTGGGGATTGAACTCGTGCTGCAGTGGCTGCAGATTGCTTCATAGTGCTGAGATTTACCCCCCTGTGCCACCAGGGAGGCCCCAGTTTGGGAATTGTTAACAGTTGAGTTTTAAATGAAGATTTTTTTTTTTTAATTTTTTTTTTTTTATAGAGGCATGTTTTTTTATTTATTTATTCATCTGTTTGTTTTTTTGTTTATACATGCACTGGGTACAGTCAGAAGCGCGGGAGGGTGAGAGAATTCACCAGAGCCAGAGCGGGGAGCAGAGCAGGCAGAAGGACCGAAGTACACTGCTGAGGGGAGCAGCGGGCGGCAGGAGAGGTCTGCGCGCCATGTGGGACCCTCCTCCAGTGGCCGGGGAGCAGCCGGGGATCGAACCGGCGCTGCAGAGGCTGCTGGCAGCTTCGCAACCCAGCGCTCAACCGCTGTGCCACCGGGGAGGCCCAACAGTTGAGTTTTAATCCTAGGCTAACTCTTTAAAATATTCTGAATAACCTCTTTACTCTCTGCTCATTATATAGATTCCCTAAAACATCAGATTCCAACAGAATTAGGAAAGAAAATCAGCCCAAACAGTTGTTTTTAATTATCTGTTATTTAGGGTATTTCAGCTCCCTTTCTGTAGTAAGGACCTGAGTAGTAGACCACTGCCACACTGCTCCATCCTGTCTCTCGTGAGCCCCCACCTATTCCTTTGAGGTTGTCTGGGTGACACCAGCCAGAAGAATCTCAGGGTCATAGGCACCAGTAACCAGATCCTCTGTCTCCAGGATCCAGGAAGTTTCCTTGACAGCCTCCAGCATGATGAGACTGGGAAAGGCCTCAGAACAGCACAGAACCCAGAGGTGGGGGCATCTCCTGTGGAAGAGCTCCCAGAAGCAGGTAAGGCAGTCAACCCACCCAGAATGTTCTCCTTGTGTTAACCTTTTTTTTTTTTTTAAAGATTTATTTTTAATATAGGAACCGGGGTATAGGTCAGAGGTGCAGGAGGGTGAGAGGATTCACCAGAGACAGAGCAGGAAGCAGAACAGGCAGACGACCGAAATACACTGCTGAGGGGAGCAGTGGGCGAGACAGGAGAGGCCTGCCGTGCCATATCGGTTTCTCCTGGGCCGGCTGGGAATTGAACCTGCACTGCAGGGGCTGCAGACAGTTTCACAGCGCTACGCTGAACCTGCTGCACCACTGGAGAGGCCCTACTTGTGTTAACTTTTGAAAAGCTCAGTCACATTCTTCTGGCTGCCTCTGGTTCCTCTTTCTGGGAACCTCTGGATCTTATAGGATCCTACAGAAATCAGATGTGGTGCCTTCTCTGGAATGGCTACAAGCCACAAACTAGTTAATAGTGTGCTAGGGGCCACATAAAGCAAACAGAGTGACCCACAGAGTGACCCCCATTTCCAAACCTGTGCCATTAGATGCAAGAAACAGATGGACTGGCACACCCTTGTACCATACCTAGCATCCATCTGTGAGCTGGTGGCCAGACCACAGAAGCAGATTCGCCCATCCTGATGAAGCCCAGGAGGTGCTGAGGAATGGCTAGTTGGGGTGGGACCAGGATACAGATCTGAGAGGCCCCAATAAGGCCTCTTGGGGGAAAGCCAGCTGGTTTCTCAGGAGGTAGCATAATGTAGGTGACACTAACAGAATCCATAAATTTAACCATGTCTAACCCCAAATTCATGGAATTATGGCTAGGTCCTCATACTAACCAAATTCATAGTAGACCAGTGGATAATGGAAAAATGGAACGAAGCCTACTTGTTTGTTTATATCTTATGAAAGTGTATTTGCCACTTATGCAGGAATCTTCTGTAGAATCTTACATTCTTTCCTCATAGGAAAGCTTGATGATAAATTAGACAACGCTGACTACTCAGTCCCCTTCATTTGACAGTATTTCTCCAATCATAGTGTATTAGTGAGGGACAACATTTTTTGCAATAAAGTCCACAAGTGCGAGCTTCCCTTGTGGCGCAAGGGGTTAAGGTGCAACCTATGAAGTTGTCCCCAGCCACTGCAGCACGAGTTCGATCCCCGGCCAGGGAGCTACCCACATGGCACAGGAGACCTCTCCTGACTCGCCCACTACTCCCCTCAGCTGTGTATTTCAGTCAATCCACCTGTTCTGTTCCCCACTCTGTCTCTGGTGAATCCTCTCACCCCCTGCAACTCTAGCCTGTACCCCACTTCTTGTTTGTATAAATAAATATTTTTTTTTTTTTTAAGATTTATTCATTTATTTATACAAGCACTGGGTACAGTCAGAAGCGCGGGAGAGTGAGAGAATTCGCCAGAGCCAGAGCAGGGAACAGGGAGAAGAACAGGCAGAAGGACCGAAGTACACTGCCGAGGGGAGCAGCGGGTGGCAGGAAAGGTCGGCGCGCCATGTGGGACCCTCGCCCGGTGGCCGAGGCTGCGGGCAGCTTCACAACCCAGCGCTCAACCACTGTGCCACCGGGGAGGCCCTAAATAAATAAATCTTAAAAAAAAAAAAAAATACCCCAAGTGCAATGCTGGTCACCTTAATTAGATTTTTTTTTAATTTTTTTTAAAGATTTATTTATTTATACAAGAACTGGGTACAGACCAGATGTGTGGGAGGGTGAGAGGATTCACCAGAGACAGAGTGGGGAACAGAACAGGCAGACTGACTGAAAACACTGCAGAGGGGAGCAGCGGGTGAGACAGGAGAGGTCTGCTGCGCCATGTGGGTTTCTTCCTGGCTGGCCAGGATCGAACCTGCACCACAGAGGCTGCAGACAACGTCATAGTATGGCGCTCAACCACCTGCGCCATCAGGGAGGCCCACTTTAATTAAATTTTGATTGCGCCCAGCAGCAATGTATACTGTGTGCTCTGTGCCAAACAGGGAGCTAGGCTCTGAGGCGTAGTTTCCAGGATGACTTACTCCCAGGGCTGCCAATCCCATCCATTAAGTGGGCCTTTCTAGTTGGAAGTGAAGTGTGGCTTTGGCATCTGATCGTGCCAGAGTGTGCTCCCCTTTGGTGGGTTCTTTGTTTTACCCTGTTCTCTGGGGTAAAACAGGCTCTACCACGAGGTGCCCTCTAAGGGGAACCATGAGAACTAACAGTGATGACTACAAGGTGGTGGCCTTGTGCAGGCAGAGAGTGAGCACTCAGCAGGTGTTAACTGCTGTGATAACAGTAGCAGTGGGGATACTGAGATCAGCTCTGTTTCCAGGTTCTTGGACATAAGCACCCCACCCAAGAACTGCAGTCAGGAATAGTTACTTTCATTCCCTACACCCACAAAGGCACTTTGGGGGAAAGGGGTGATGTTGTCTCCTACTCTAGATTCATGGAGCATGTGGTTCTGAACATATTAATGGCTTTTCCAGGCCTTGTTTCTCCCTCTGTCCAATGAGAGGGTTGCACCGGGGGGGGAGGGGAGTGTCTCTGGAGATTTTCTGCTCAGGCAGAAAGTGAGGACCCACACTGAGGGCCATGGCCAGCCTTTCTCAGCAGAGTGGCCCCTGCCTTCTGTTGTATGCGGGCATGTGGGTTAGAGGGCAGGTGGAAGTCTGGACAGTCTCAGGCCCATCACCACTGCCCAGGGGGAGCCATCTGCCCAACTCTACAGTCAGATCCAGGCCTTCCTGAAGGGCAGGAGCTTTGGAACTAGGTCATGTGGGACCCTACCATTGTCATTGAGTCTGCCCACCCTGTCTGCCCCCGCTGCAGATGACCTGGATGGACTCCTGAGTGAGCTCCCTGAGGACTTCTTCTGTGGGACCAGCACTCTGGACTGCCCCAAGGCAGGGCACCCGCCGTGAACAGCCTCCTTTCACCCCGCGCAAGGCTCTGGTCATGTTGGGTCATGTCCAAGGGAGAAAGCAAGACTAGCATGACTGGAAAATAGGCAGCTCAGGACTGTTCCCACCCTGGATGCTTTCCCGAAAACGCCTGCGCCCCTCAGGTTGTGCACTGTTGTCACTTTGGATTGTCCTTTGTCATACCAGAACTTGACCCAAGACTGCTTTCCAGCCTTCCTGTCTTGCAGCCCTCTGGTGCATCATCTGCCAACAGGGAAGGTGTGTCACCTTCAGTGTCACTCTCCTGCCTCAGCTTGCCTTTAGAGGTCACTGGGCCTGGTCCTTTTACTGCCTAGTCCCCAGACAACTGAGGAGCCACCCACAGCAGTGGACACCTGTCCTCTGCACAGGGAATGAACATGCTTCGACTTCACTCAGCTTTGTCTTTGGAAGCCAGAGTCCCTTGGTGTGGGGGCAGGAGTGTGACTGGACGCCTTGTTCTGAAATAAAGCAGCACCTACTTCACCTGTCTCCCTCCCCTTTCTCCCCCGCCGCTACAATGGTCTTTGGCCAATTAACTGACCTCTGTACTTCATTCCGATTTACTCACTTTCCCCTAATGTCCTTTTACTGGTCCAGGATCCCATTTACATTTAGTCATCATGTCTTTGCACTGAGGCAGTTTCGCAGACTTTCCTTGTCTTTTATGACCTTTATATGACCCACTTTGAGGAGTACGGGTCAGGCATACCGTAGGATGCCTGCTATTGGAATCCGGTGTTTCTTCACGATTACGGGGGTTAGCCACAACGGTGAGGTGCAGTTCCTATCACATTGTATCGAGGGCGGTTGACCCTGACCACATGCCTGAGGTAGGGTTGTCAGGTCTCCCCACTGTGAAGTTACTCCTCCCTTTCTTTTTTTTTTTTTTTTTTTTCTATTTTTATTTATTTATTTTTATTTTATTTTATTTTTAAAGATTGATTGATTGATTGATCTATACAAGACTGGGTACAGTCAGAAGCGCGGGAGGGTGAGAGAATTCACCAGAGCCAGAGCGGGGAGCAGAGCAGGCAGAAGGACCGAAGTACACTGCTGAGGGGAGCAGCGGGCGGCAGGAGAGGTCTGCGCGCCATGTGGGACCCTCCTCCGGTGGCCGGGGAGCAGCCGGGGATCGAACTGGCGCTGCAGAGGCTGCGGGCAGCTTCGCAACCCAGCGCTCAACCGCTGCGCCACCGGGGAGGCCCTACTCCTCCCTTTCTTATTGTCCCCTGAGAGGAAGACACTGTGCAGCTACCCTTAAGCAATGAAGAGTCATGTGCCCCCTCCTTCAGGGCAGAATAACAGATTGTTTGGAATTGTTCTGTATGGGAGTTCAGTCTATTCACTCTCATTTTTGAGGCAATCATTTAATTACATCAGTAAGGACTCATGGGCATTTATTTTGTACTTTGGGTTACAATTTAGTATTTTATAAATTTTGTTGCCTAGCATCTCTTCACACCGTAGCTTCTCTATACCACCTTTCAGGCCAGGGCAATGGTAGGGTGTTAAGGGTCCAATTTTACCAAGTTGATCTTCAGTTTCCTTTCTGGAATGAAAGGAAGATTCTCCCAATTCTTGGTGGAAGGAGTGTGGGTGACCCAATGTGACCACCATTCTCCCCTGCCTCAGCCTTCTAGGCAGCAGTGAGCTGGGCTACTGCTCTGGGTGAAGGCATCAATCTCCCTTTCCCTGTGAGGCTGTGGATCACCATCTCAGGCTGAAATGAGCAAGTGCTTTAAGAAGCCCATGTGCAGAGGGCTGCTGGTCATAGTGGGGCCCTGCTCTAGGCAGCTTTTAGAGTGTTTCAAGGCCTGGAGCCAAAACAGGCTGATTGACCAGCACCCTTAGCCTTCAAACTCCCATTTGGTCTTTTGGCTAAGGAGACCATGCACTTATTTCCCTGCTAGAGACTCCCTCTGACTGTAGCTTAGATGTCCCAGGGTCCATCTATGCTATGTGGTGCTCCTGCACTTAAACCACCCCATGCCCTTGATGCAGTGTCCTTCCCCAGTCGCCCCCTTTGAGCCCTGGTTTTTACTGCTCACAATCCTGACCCATAGCCTGGTTTTTTGGCATCTCCGAGCTCCCAGAGGCATGCTGGACATCTCATCACAGGGAGCCCAATTCTACGGGGCTCGTGGGTTCGTGGGGGGTGAAGTAAAGGCCTCCTTTTTTTGCTCTCAGGAAGCTAAGGCCAAGGAGACATAATACATGGGATCCTGGGAGGAAGCCGTCGTCAGAGCACCTTCAGGGACAAGAAGCCTGCGGAGAGGCTGGGGGGGCAGCAGCTACTGCCCCACCTGCAGCGACTATTGTGTGCCTCAGGAGGAAACCTTGGCCCTTCTTGGCCCCAGCTGGCCTTGCCAGCTCCCATCCCTGGGAACCCAGCTGTGGGTGCTCAGCCAGGCCGTTGGCGGGGCAATTAAAACCCTGAATGGGTTCCAACAGGGTTAATCACAGCTGCTTTATAGAGGCGCCTTTCTCTGAGACTCTCCAAGCCCTCACTGTGCATGATCTCATCCCTCCTCTGGGGTCCCCCGCCCTGGAATACCACCAAGAAGCTGGGGCCAGAGTAGGTGAACAGCAGAGTAAGGGCAGTGCCGGAAACAGCCCAGGCTGCTGCCACCCACTTAGGCAGGCGGTGAGTGTTTGCTCTGGCAGAGAACAGGGCCCTCAATGCACTACACATAAGAGGCCAGCCGGCTGCCAGCCAAGCACTCTGAAGAGTCATGTCAAGACCTACTGTGTGCCAGGCCCTGCTGGGTACCAGAAACCCAACTGAATGAACTCACGCCCTGAAGCCCAGATCCAGCCCTGCAGACCATGGTCCTTGCCACCTCTGTCTACAGGACATTGGGAGGTGCATGAAGTCCTGGGAGCACAGATGGAACCTGGGAACTGTGGTGGTAGGGGGAGCCCTGGGGTTGCTGTAGGGGTGTCTCCCAGAGCAGGTGACCTTTGAGGCAAGACTTTGAGGAATGAGTCAGAAGGGAATTCCAGGCAGAGGGAAAGGCAAGAGAGAATGGCAGAAAAAGGTGGGGCCAAACCAAGGAATTGGGGTTTAGAGGGAAAAGACAGGTGTCGGGAGTGCACAGAAGCTTTCAGGGTAGAGAATGAACCGTTTCAGACAGCACTTTGCCGCTGCGGCAGTGGAGCAGAGTGGATGTGGTAAGGGGCAGAGGTAGGGCTGTTCCAGGTTAGAGGTGTGGCGTTGTTGACTGAAAATGTGACTAGGAGCTGGAACTTGTCTTGAGGGGACCAGGGAAGAAGTCAGAGATGACTGAGCAGGGAGCTGCAAGGTCAGGGAGGGGAGAACCCCGCTGTGCTAGGGGAGACCAGCCACGGCCTCCAGTTGTAGGATGGGCTCGGCCAACCCAGATGGGCCAAGGGACTGAGAGGCCAGCCTGCCAGCATGTGAGTTCTGCCTGTCAGAAGTTGGAAGGTAGGGACTCATCTTCCCGCACTCCCCTTCCCGGGCTCGGCAGCCACACCAGCTAGTGCTGTTTCATGGCCTCATTCCTCCCCCTAGAGGCTCCTGGAAGCAGAGCTGCTTCCTCTTGAGTAATTGGGTTTTGTGACTTGAAAGTTCCTTTGGTTGGAATCCCCAGAGTTGCCAGGTCAACCCACCAGCCCTTCTCAAGTAGCCACGTGAGCCTTTTAGGAGCTGGGGGGACAGGGGGTGGTGTCAAGTCTCACTGAAGGGAGTTTCTGGAGACTTGCGATCCTGCTTGGAAGAGGGGGGCAGCTCTCACCCCTGCCACCCACAGCAATCAGTCAAAGTGCTCCTTCTCTGGAGTTAGGACTCCACCAGGGTCCTAGTCTGGCTCCACCCCTATAAGCTGCGACCTTACGAGTAGTTTCACCTTGTTAAGCCTTAAGTTTCTCATCGATAAATGAGACAGAAGATCACCCCCCTCAGAAGTGTTCCACTGTGATAATTAGCTAACGTGATTTTCTGTCAAAACCAAGTTTACTATTTACCTGGAAGTGAAAGTGATTTAAATTCCGTGAAGGGCCTCCCTGGTGGCACAAAGGGTTAAGATGCAGCACTATGAAGTATGAAGCTATCCTCAGACACTGCAGCATGAGTTTGGATCCCTGGCCAGGGAGCTGACCCACATGGCGCAGCAGACCTCTCCTGACTTGCCCGCTGCTCCCCTCAGCAGTGTATTTCAGTGACTCCATCTGTTCTGCTCCCCACTCTGTCTCTGGTGAATCTGCTCACCCCCCGCACCTTTGGCCTATACCACAGTTCTGGTGTGTATAAATAAATAATTTTTAAAAAATTTTTTTTTTAATAGAGGCATGTTTTATTTATTTGTTTGTTTGTTTGTTTGTTTTGTTTATACATGCACTGGGTACAGTCAGAAGTGCGGGAGGGTGAGAGAATTCACCAGAGCCAGAGCGGGGAGCAGAGCAGGCAGAAGGACCGAAGTACACTGCTGAGGGGAGCAGCGGGCGGCAGGAGAGGCCTGCGCGCCATGTGGGACCCTCCTCTGGAGGCCAGGGAGCAGCCGGGGATTGAACCGGCGCTACAGAGGCCGCTGGCAGCTTTGCAACCCAGCGCTCAACCGCTGCGCCACCGGGGAGGCCCTAAATAAATAAATTTTTAAAAAAATAAAATAAATTCTGTGAGCCCCGTGCTTACTGCCCCTGTGGGCAGAGTAGTTACTGTTACTGTCAATGCCTGGGAGACTGGTTGAACACTGTCTCGACCTGCCCGTATTTTCTAGGCTGGGGTCCTCGCTCTGCAGCTGGCATCAGAGGCGCTGACCCTTCCCTCTGGCCGCCTTTGCCTACCTCCTGTACTGACCTCAGGCTTTGCTAACCAGAGAGGCTCACCGAGAAAAGTGGGAGGACAGGGACCCTGGGGCTCAGAGGGGACCTGAACAGAAGGCGTGCTGCCCAGTACACCAGGGCATCTGCAGGGCAGGGCAGCCCTAGGTCTGTGGGGGTTGGTCGACACCTTCTCTGCACCAGGATCGGACTCTGGGCACAGTGTTTACCAGAGCAGCACAGGCCTATTTATAGCCTCAGCTGCTCTTCTCTCTGGGTCACCAGGGAGGGGGCAGGGGTGGTGCCTCAGAGCAAGGGTGGTAGCAGGCGAGGCAACCCAGCTCTGACCTGCTGCCACTGCCCAGACCCCCGGGCCCTCCCCATGGCAGAGAAGACCCTCCCCTTGTCATCGAGTCTGCGTGCTCTGCGCCTGCAGCGGGAATGGCTGGAGTGGGCGGACCGGCGGCAGGCTGCTGCCCAGCAGTGCCGGAACCACAGGTGCCCCCCAAGTTCCCGGGCCCGACTCACTAGGCTACGCCGCTCTTGTCTAGACCCAGCTGTCTACAATGCCCTGTTCTCCGGCGACCTGCAACAGGTCCAAGCCCTGTTCCAAGATGAAGATGCAGCCAACATGATTGTGGAGACTGTGAGCAATCAGCTGGCCTGGTCGGCGGAACAGGGTAGGGTAGGGAGCATGGGGTGGGGGCAGAAGAAGAGGA